TGACGTATTCATAACGGTTGTTTATAAATAAGTTTAGATAAAAGGTTCCATGTTTTTGCAAAATTATATTTTTTTTTTTAAAAAAAAAACAAATATAATTTATAACAATAAATTTTGCTACTATATTTCATAAATTCAAAAATACAGAACAATGGACTCTTTTAGCAAACTACTAGACCCTATACCTCAATATGTAACATGCTGTTTACCGGCCTTGGCGATAATGGGAGAATCCCCCGCAGAGTCGTTTACAGAAAAATTCTTTTGGTTACTTATCTGCCTTGGATGTCCGTTTACGGGGTTATTTTACTCTTTGATAATTGGGAGTAGAAAAGAGAATCGTTTCTTATATTGGCTTTCATCAAAAAAATTTAAACTTGTTTCTAAAGACGGTTCCAAACCTAAAGAATCTGACGAATCTGGCAATCATGGAGAATTTTCCGAATCATATAGACCTTTTGGATTTCATGCTTGCGAAATTGATAAAGATTCCGAACAATATATAAAACAACTCGCAAAACAATGCACAGCAAAGGCATCTGTTTTGTTTCAGCGATTGGACCTATTTACTTCATAATAATTGGTATGTCGGCATTAATTTCTCAAGCTCAGGGAACAATAAATTGTAAGGACTGGCCTCACATTCCATTTTTGTTGTCCTGGGTACTCCCTGCAACTTTTATAAGAGTGTTGTGCGGAATCACTTTCATCAAAAATCCTGATGCTTTGGTTTTCGAAAAACCAATTTTGATTTCGAAAAATGAAGAGCTTAGAAGAAATAATAGTTGGGCCGTTTTTGCACTTGCTTTTTTCTCAATATTTTATCCGTACATTACGTTATTTCTGGTTTACTTTTCACCCCCTATTGGATATGGTTGCCGGAGTAAATTTATTACAATTTTCTGCATTATATGGACATTTAATAACATTTTAGCAATTATATCCCACCGCAAAGGAGAAAAGAACTTAGGTCAAGGACTTATTAATTGTTGGTTTGCTTTTTGCGGAGTTTTAATTGGAATTCTTTTAATATTTTTAGGTTTGCTTTCTAAAAATAATGATTGGTGGATTTTTTTGTTTGATGAATCATGTAGTCTTTCAAGTATAGGATGTGTATAGCGTTTTAAGAAATTCCTGATGATGTTTTTTATTTTTTATATTATATACTAGAGGAGATTGATAAATGATTTAATTACATAAATTTGTGCTTTCACATTACAGGTTCTAGGAAAAACTAACTGGGAAACTTTTTATAGTAAATATCGTATATATCAATTTTTACAATAAAAATTTGTTTTAAATTCTTTCGTAATTTATCATCACCAAAAAATTAATGTTTATACTGCATTATCAAGGTAGAATTTGTTACTATAAATTAAATCAGAAATCATATACCCAATTTTTTGATACTTCGGGTTAAACAATGATTTGGATTTTAATAAATTGACGATTATCTCTTATTATTGACACGTGTTTAGTGATTTGATATAATGTAAAGTCCAGCATGACATTAACAATTTATACATGCATTGATTCAAGTCTATATTTAAATACTTTAAATGTTATAACATTTGTGCTGACTAATTCGGGTTTTGTTTTACATTAAAATTTACACATTGTTACGGGGCGATCGGGATCAGGTTAGCGTTGGAATTAGTCTTCCTACTATCAGGACTTGTTTATTTGGCCGATGTTTTTTTCTTCTCTTCGCTAACTTTTCCTCTTAAGTAGTGTCAGAGGGTAAAATAGCGACGCATTACAGTCACGTGACTAATATTCGTGATAGTACCCGTTCCTACCATGGTACTTGAGGTAGTATGATAAAAGTATGTAAGCAAAAAGGGATGGGAAGTGGATAAAATAGTAGTTGGGAAGCGTATTAGAATGTTAGGTAATCGTGAAAAAATGAATAAATAATATAAATAATTGTGATCAAGAATTATGTAATAAGAGAAAATCACGAGAAGACATTAGATAAACGATGCTGCCATATTTTTTTATTGTAAAGTCGTCCCAAATAAAATGTATAAAAATATGTAAAAAAAAGGTGAACAAAGGACCTTTTACTTAGCCAAATATTACACGACTAAAAACTTATTAAATTCCTTACCCCCTCGGCGGTCACGCGACACTCTACCCACTTTAGCGACAGACTCGCCGATCGACCGTCCCACTAGTAACACGAACCCTGCCTAATTGCTACAGTAGTACTTTCCCTCCTTGTCTCAATTCTGGCTCCCTAGTAGGTTGTTGATATTGTAAACATGAGGCTTATAGTGTGCGTGGAACATATAATGTTATTAAAATGAAAGTGGAGTTAAAAAGAATGAACAAAAGGCATTTGAATATTATCAAAAGTTGACTAGGATAAGAGATGTAAAAAGAACATAAAAGTTGTCTATTGCTACGGAAATAGAATTGAAATTGAAAAGGAACATATAAGACATTTGAATATTATAAAAACAGCTGAGATGGGCTGTGCTAATTGAATGCGCAGTGTTAGTCGTATATTGAAAACATTTGAAATAGTGTTAAAAAGATGAATATAAAGCATAAAAAATCGACTGACATGTGGAATGCATGTTTGCAATAAAAAAGGCTAGAATAAAACATTTAAATATTTTATGATAGGGATACTATAAACGTAGTCATGCATTCATTCATTTTTTAAAAAATTGATGTTACGGGTGAATGTGCGATTATGAAATTAGCAAATGTGTAAATAGAATTAAGCATATATTATGTGGGATAGGTAATGGATTTTGATAAAAAACCGAATTGAAACCGAAACCGATCGAGATCCTACGTAAATAATATTAAATTATGGATCAGATCAGTCAAGGGAACTTGATAACAAAATATTGTTAAAGTTAGATTTTTACCTGACGGCACCACCATATAACTTGAATTTATGTGATCAATATAAAAAATATTGTGGTGAAAGAGTGTGCATTCAAAAACAAGGTTTTCTGTTGATATAATATCTAAATATTGATATCACAATGGAATTGGAATTGCAAACTTTTATTAAAACAATATTATCGATTGACGACTTCGTACTCGTTATTTTTTTAATAATAAATATAAAATAAAAATGATAAAATAAAAAACGAAATAATAATAATAATACTGTAACTAGTGTCGGGCTCTCCGGCAAGCCCACACTACTAGTCGTCGCTTCGGTTCACAATAAGGTAAGTTTCCTTAACTCTTGAGGCGTGTTTCCGATTTGGCTGTTCTCTCACTTTAACTTCTCTACCGATTAACCTAGAGCCCTTCCAATGCCAATTCCCTTAGGCAACCCTCGGTTCTCTCTTGCAGTCGCTTAGCCCAAGTTACAAGTCTTACTTTGACACACTAAACAAAAGGTAAGAGTTTATCCGTCAGACGTTACTTTATTGTTTATTCTTTAGGCGTTACTAACTCTAAACTTCAATCCTCCTAAAATCGTCTTCATACTACTGAATAGCACATGTATTCATACAAGCGCCTGTTATTTGCATGTTTACATCTGATCGCTAATCTACACTACTCTAGAAATTTCCGTCACTAAACTTTCCCACCTTAATTTCCCCACAGATCACGACAACAGGATGACGTAACGTGATATCGCGTTGCCGATTTTACCCATAAACATTAGGAAATGGAGACCATTGTAAATCCGGAGCACATGACGCTATACACTCGTACTCTTCTGAGCCTCTAATATCATCAAGTAAAATGTGTGATCCCTGATGCGAAGTTTTAAGAACTATACATGTACCATTTCATCTTCACTATCCTATTAAAATGTGGAATTTCTAATCTTAAATATAAGGTGAATGCCATCTGGTGAAATCAACAATTTCTTTTTACCGTTCCATCCTTATTACCAGATACAGTTCCCGGCGAAAAAAATGGCGGATGGATTTTTTAAGATTATATACATAATTTATTAATAATAAAAGTTTATTTTTTTTATATACAAAGACAATATCTAACACTTTATTTTTTATTATAGGTTTAATATTTTGTATGACCTCCTACTGCACTAATGCATGCTTTAATTTGATCTCGCATACTATCAATACTTCGAAGTAATATACTATCATCAAGGTTATCCCATTCTTGCCTAATTATATTAAGAAAAGGTTCTCGTGAAAATTTTTTTTTTTTTACTATCATATCTTTAATTCTTCTCTCTACTTTTTTTTTTTAATATGGCCCATACATTTTCAATTGGGTTCATATCTGGACTATATGAAGGCCAAGGGAGAACACGTTTTGAAAGATGATTTTTTAAATCATTTTGAACATCATATGAAATGTGTTTTGGATCATTATCTAATTGAAAGATCCAACTATGACCATATAATTTATTTGCATTGTCATATAAATGTTCGGTTAATATTTTTCGATACAAATGGTGATCCAGGTTTTCGGTAAATAAATGCATTCCAATTTTTCCTTTCATACTGATCGCTGCCCAAATATGAACTTTATATGGATGTTTTACCATAGGTGCAATAGGTTTTATATTACGAGACCATGTATGAAGAGTATTACTGAACATTTGGATTGTTGCTTTATCAGAAAAAACAACTTTTTACCAGTCAAATAGTGAATATTTACGTGCCCAAAATAAGTGATAGTTTTTTGCTTGCTGAGTTAAAAGAGGAACTTTTTTTGGAATAATAGAAACAAAACCAAGGTTTTTAAGCTCACGACGTATAGTACATTCACTAACTTCAAGCTCAGAATCATTTTCTTCTAATTTGGCTTTAAGTTCACTTGCTGTAATAAAGTAGTTGTGTTTTAAAATTTTTCCGATATGGCGACATTTTTTAGCAGTTAATTTTCTTGAATGACCAGAAGAATGACCAATAGGAATCTTACCAGTTTTATTTAATAAACTGGTATACCATTCACAAGAACGTAGAGGAATTCCAAATTGTTGAGAAATTTTTCTTGAATTGTGAATATTTTGTTGCCAAAGTGACTTAACGATATTTCGTTGTATTTCAAGATGCGTTAATACCATTTTGAATTATATAAACAGGATATAAACAATATTAAACGTTATTGTTTATATTCTGTTTATTAAAATAACATTCGATTTCCCTAATTGGTAATATAAACAACAATCAAAATCAGAAAAATAGCAAAAAAAAAAAAAAGAATTTTCACCGCCATTTTTTTCGCCGGGAACTGTACAGTACCATCCGATAAGATCACCACACTCCTTATGGTATAATCTGAAGTCTTGGATCATACCTGCACCGCTCTATCAGCACCATGTTCTTAAATACACGGTTCCTATGATTTCAAACACGTCCGAATCTTAATTTAGAGTCTTGAGTGACCACATCTGCACTGTCCCATCATAACTACTCGATGCTAGTTGAGTGTCGCCAGGTAAGATCGCCACACTATTAAACTATCATGTCCCTTTAAAATGCGCGGTTCTTGATTTAAATTATGGAAGAATCACATTAACACCATCTCATTTTCGCTATCCATGCTGGTCGAGTGCCATTAAGTGAGATCGACACACTCCGGAATTACCATGTCTTAAATGCATGATTCCTGATTCGAAGCCTTAAAGGACTACATCTGTGTAATACATTTGAATATTGCTGTCGTTATCGGAAAGCTCGGCGCTAATTTCAGCTTCTCATGTGAAGACAATCCGAACATCTGGATTTAGGCACTAAATAAGGTAAGGCTTTATCTCTAAGGCAGATTACGATTTGGCCGGCTTTCATGCACTTGCTAATTTCTTCTTGACCATCTCTCTCTAGGTGCATCTTAACATTAAGTGTCATTCTCTACATGGGGTAAAAGTAATTCGGTTTCTTTTCTTAAAGAATATATTATTGTAGTGACGGTAATCTCAGGTTATGATCTTATATGTACAGTCAGCAAGGAAAGTAACGTTCAATTTTTATAAAACTCAAATTCAAATTTGTTACTTGATTTATTCAATTTATG